AGTACCGAACCTGAAGTAAACCGCCGCAATGATCCCGGACCCGAAAATAAGCTGCCACAGAGGTTCCGAAATAAATCGCCGTGAGGGCGTTGAACCTTAAACGAAACACCGCGATGCCACCGAACCTGACCAAACCCGAAATCCAGTACCGGGCTGTTGCGCCACGCGGATGCCGAACACGTACAACCATGCCATGATAATTCCGTACCTGTCCCGAACCTGATATAGAATGTCGCAACGTTTCCGGACCTGAAAACAAACTGCCGCCGAGGTTCCAGACCTGGAATAATTGTCGTAGTGGCCCCGGTCCTAAGAATAAATCACCGCAGTTGTCCCAAGCCTGAAAATAAGTCACCGTGGTGAAGCGGCTATCACCGGGCCCATACCGCACCTGAAGCACGTCAGACACCGTAGGACGTAGCCACTCCGTAACGACCCTCGTATCCGTACCGAACTAAACACCATAGTCGACCCAAGGTAGTACCACCCCATGCTGTCCATGCGACTCCCGCTCTCAGAACATCCCAACTGCGGTRATGTTAGTAATCAAGTAAACCGGGGAAAGCGACGCAGGGAACCTCGACCATCGGCAGTAGTGAAAACTGTTAAAAATTCGGGGAAAATGTTCAATCCGGGGCCAGAGCTGATGGCGGGTAATCGAGGCGAAATTAGGCCAATCTCCCAATAGTCATGGGTTCCCGTCCCTTCCATCGTTTTTCATCATTCTTCTGTTTCCTTAATTCTATTATTGGAAATAGTAACTTAACCGTTAGTTCCCCAAAATTAAATTCCGAGAAAGTTTAAATAAATGGCCGAATTTTTTTTGTTTCTTTTCTCTTTTACCATTTATAATCTCTTCCTATGTTTTTAATTTCATTGCCGGGAACATAAAATAACAAGGGTATTCCCCCTTGAATTAAATGCCGTGAAAAATAAAGAAATTAAGGGATATTATGTTTTTCCCTTCTCCCCTACTACTCTTAATCCCATTTCCCCATCTTTAATTATGGTACTAAAATAGAAAAAAAATTGAGGCCTCATTTCGGACCCGGTTGTATGCCGCAAAAACGTTGCGGCGAGGTCAGTTCCCGCGATGCCTCTCCGCGGCAGGCCAATCCGGGTCTAACCCTTTGAATGGCCAGAAATGACGGTCCGTAGATGTGACGAGTGCGGCCACCCATCTCGCCATCTTTGAGGGTTACCCGTAAGGTTCAGCGCCCAAAATCAAGGGCGCCCTGAGCTTCCCTAATTTTTGCTTCTTGGTCAACCCGGAGCACCGTCAAAACACGGACTTGTCTTTGAGCCTATGTCCCAAAGCCGTAGATTTAAGCCGGCACACTGCTTGTGGCCGCCTGACAGTTAGCCCGGACCACTGCTCGACGCTCCTGTCGAGCCCTAACCACTCACGTCAGACGAAGCGGACGAGCTTCAGGGTGATGGCCCGTAAAGGACGCCACGTCGGCGTTCAATTCTTTTATGTTTCAGTTTGTTATGAGTCCTGGGGCTAACGCGAACTCTCCGTCTTGAGCAGTGGTCCATACTTCTTGACTTTCCTATTTCTTCTGGTTTTTGGCCTCGGCACGATCCTCTTTTTCTTCTGTCTTTGCCCCGAGAAGGGTGCCGACCGGCCAGTACGTCTAACGCGAACTCTCCGTCTAGCCCTTTTGAGCACGAATAACCATTTCTTCTCTCTTCCTAAAGCTAACCCTTTGACCTTTCTTTTCTCTATTCTTTTCCTCTTCTTGGAATTCTCCCCTGCCTCGAATCGCCTCGAGGGGGCTCCATCCTCCATTCGGGCTTTCCCTTTCCCTTTCGGGCTAGTCAGCGATAAGGTGGGTGCGGGCCTAGGTCTAAACAGCTTTAACCTAGCACCCGCCACTGGGTTCTTCCACTTGGATCCGTCTAATTCTGCTATCATATATGCACCCCAGTCGAGTGCCTCAACCACTTTGTAAGGTCTCATCCATTTGTTGGCGAGTTTTCCGGTCCGAGTCCTCTCCAGTGTTGCGTCGTAGA